TCCGTTTATATTTTACTTGAAAACAATTGTAAAATATCACGAGAACAAAAACCGGTGTTCGACTTTTTTTTTTTCTTTTTTCAAAAAAAACTTTATTCTTTTCTTTTTTTTTTTTTTTTTTTTTTTTTTTTTGCAACATTCTGTAAGTCTGTTATTATACGATTTTATTTGAATCATAGGGGTCGTCTTGGTTGTTATTACGATAGGTAAACTCGCGTTTGATTAAGACAATTGTATGACTTTTTGACTCTTATTTGTTCCCTAGTTGATTTTTTTTTATATCACCACGAAAAATCCTTCGGCTTTTAAGATAAAGGGGAAGAAAATTTCATTTATAAAAAAATTCATCTGTATATAATGACAATTAAGGGCAGACAGCTATTTGTTGGCAACGTGAGTGTTTGTTGAAATATTGTATTAAATGATCAAAAAATTTGTGAATACTACTTACATTACAAATATGTTTAATATTTCATGGAACTAATTACGAAATGCTATTGATTGATTGTTTATGTGCATCACAAAGCTCCCATTTGTAGGTTGGTAAAATGTTCATTATGTGGACTAATGAATTTCACTAAATCAATCATTATTTTACTTATTAATAATAATAATAAAATATTAATATTATATTTTATTACTATCATAATTCACGAACGTAAAGTGGGTTGGCAAGATTTAAAGGCAAATATCTATTCAAAAAAAAATTTTTTTTTTTCTTTGACGCGGAATTATATTGTCACACATGATTAATTATTTCGGATAATTTTTTATACAGGATTTATTTAGATCGGCTGGGAATGTGCAACGTGCAAACATCATGCAAGGCCGCGACGGTCGGTCAAAGGGACATGGTATTGTGCTCTATGCGACCGTGGCTGATGCGAAAAATGCAATTTGTATGAAGTTTCTCTTATAAAATGATATGAAAATGTGAAATTATGATATGTGATAAAATGAGATCAAAATAATTAATTAATGAGTTATATTATATTAGTTTATAATTTATTTTATTAATTTTTATTTTTAAATTATTATTTAGCAACATTTGACGGTTATGAATGGCATGGAAGAAGATTAGAAGTTAGAGAAGTATGTAATCTGATTGTTTTTTTTTTTCTGATTTATTCTGATTTATTCTGACTTTTTTTGCTCAGGATCGTAGTGCAATGGATTTTCCTCCTCCCCCTCCACGTACTGAGGGAGTAAATGCTATAAATCAATCGGAGGCATTATATCCATTTTTTTTACACATGAATGAAATGTCATAATAATTTAAAGTTTATGTTAATTTTTATTAAATTGATTTAATAAAGCTAGAAAATGAGAAAATCAGTGTGTCAAATGGCCGATCTGCATCTGTAACTTCAAATGAAATCAATGGAACTACGCCATCAACACAAACGTCGTCTTCTCCAGTAGATTATCCTAATGAAAATATTACTTTGAATGGTATATCTAATAATATTAATAACGGTACCACATATTCTGATGAATCTACGATCAGCAATACATCATCTATTGGAACAAATGGGTTGAATAATAATTCAAATACGAATTTACAAAGACAACTTTTTGTTGGAAATGTATGTATTACGTAGCTATTGATCCTTTTTAGCTAAAATTATAATTAATTATAATTTTGATAATTTGTAAATTTAGTTACCGTTTCGTGTACGATGGCAAGATTTAAAGGATCTATTTCGAAAGGCGGGGACGGTGTTGCGTGCAGATGTTGCAATGGGTTGTGACAATCGATCTAAAGGTCATGGGACTGTACTATTTGGAAGCTTGGAAGATGCGAAAAATGCAATTGGTAATTGAATTTTAACAGTTGTACTGAATATCATTTTATTATGTACTTATTTTATTTAATTTTGATTAACTTTTACTTTTGGTTTAATAATATAATATAGCAATATTTAATCATTATAATTGGCAAGGTCGTAACCTTGAAGTACGTGAAGACCGAGGCTTCGTAGATTCAAACGGCGTTAATCATCAGAATAACAATAACTCAAACCCTCAGAAAATTCATCAGGAGACTCGTCAGATGGTTGATCCGGTTCAAAATCCCAGCCATGCACAAGCTCCATACGTACCAAATGCACCAATGGTTTGTCCGACAGGAATTTTCTTTGTAAGTACATAAAACTTGACTCTAAATGCATTATTGTTTTTATTCATTATAAGGATATTTTACAGCCCACCAGAGGAATTCATTTACCACAATCAAACTTTGCTGGGAGATTACTTTTTGTCGGAAATGTAAGTTCAAAATATCATAATGTTCATTCATGTAAATATATAGTTATAGACTTTCATTTAAAATTTTCGTTTTGCAGTTGCCTTTTAACTGCCAATGGCAAGATCTAAAAGACCTCTTTCGTAACGCTGGTAATATCATTCGAGCTGATGTTTCAACAAATTATGATGGGCGAAGTCGAGGTTTTGGAACTGTGTTATTTGCAACACCAGAAGATGCTAGAAATGCTGTTGGTAAATATGTATATTTATTTTATTTTATTTTATTTTATTTCATTTTTTTTAGTACATAGACTGATCTGTTGTTGCGACTACTTTAATAGGAATGTACAATGGTTACGAATTTCAAGGAAGAACGTTACGCGTTCAATTTGATAAATTTTCATTACCTACCTTGCCACCTCATCATCATAATCCACACCCACATCCACATCCAGTGCATTTACCACCTGTGCATCCACACCATCGACCGCCCCCACCTTTGATACCAAGTCTTGCCCATCATCATAATTATCATATTGGTCCACCGCCAATTCCACATCCACCTTTTCTTCCTCCAACGCACATAGGACCTTTTTCACCGCCGTTAGCCACACCGCCTCTAACAAGTCCACCTCCTTTTCCCGCCACGTATAATCCATTGGCACATATTAACAGTCAACCAAATACAAATTCAAATAGTTCTGCACCTTTTCACCCAATTCCTATTCATCATGGCGTGGGAGCAACTTCTCAGCAATCATCTAGTCAGCCTCAAAACATTCCTCAAGATCAAGCGACTGCAACGACTGCTTCTCAATTTAATGGTTTTGGTCCGATTGGAAAAACTAATCATTCACCACAACCAAATACTTCATCATCATCAATCTCAAATTTAGGAGCTATAGGTTTCCCTGGGACTTCAAGTACGGCAAATGGAATAGTTGTCACAAATGGGACAGATAATAATTATGGGACCGGGAATGATAATGTTATTCACAATATAACATCTTCTTTTGCTAATCTACATCTTAATCCGACTCCTCAACAATTATTTTTCCATCCACCACCTCATCCACATCATCATCGTCCACCAATTCCAACTTCATATCATTTACATCATCCTCATCAAGTGGCTGTTGCTCATCACCATCATCAGCAACATAATCACAATCATCCTCATCATCATCCCGGTGCTATTGGCAGTGGACTTATAGGAATGAGTGGTCATATGAATGGAACAACGTCCTTGTTAGCTAATTCAACCCTGACCACTACCAATGGATTGTCATCAAGCGTAACAGTTGAAACGGATAATAGTAGTAAAAATGTTATGGTATCGACCTCCATCACCGATGGAAACGCTAATTCTACTAACAATAATAATGCATCAAGCTCAGTCACTCCCACGTCAATTGTGGGTCCGTCACCGGGGGTCTTTTTCATGGGGGGTATTATAGCAGGAGGGTACTGTAGTCAGTGACGTACGGTATTATTGTTATTATTATGATTTAAATAATAAATTCGAACATTTATTTGATTATCAATCAAAATTTCAAAAATTTTTCAAGTTTTTTACCTTTTTCGAATTGTGAAATTACAGTTAACTCTCTCTACGTCGAACCCTTATATGTTAAGTCATTCTATACCACCCCTTAAGTTCGACATATGAAACGTAATAAATTACTATGAGCGGAATTGATGAAATTTTTTCACTATAATTGCCGGTAAGTACGTTTAAATATCGTAATTCAGCATGCGAGAACCGCCCTTTCACCCATTCTAAATCGTTTCATGTGCTTCAATATAGTTGGTAAATATAGATACTATTCATATGTCTGCTTAAATTCGGCGGTTCTTGTTTACATTTTTCCGATCCAAAATGTTTTATTCATTCCAGTTCGCCATAGAGAGAGCTGACTATACCAGAGTTTGGAACTGGGTATAGCAAACCGGGTCACCCGTATCTCCCATCAAAATGGTTGAATATACACAGTGAACTCTACAAATGCACTCGTCTGTGCACGCATAACGTGTACTTATAAAGGAGTCTAGCCTGATAATAAATGTTCTAATTGCATTATATTATATTTGCAATTACAGGTGGTTAACTATATGGTTCCAGTGATTTGAACCGAGTTAAAAATCGTCAACCGACTAACCGACCCGGACTTAGCTGGGTACTGCTATTTTCATAATTCCCGGAACACCCGATAAAAATTGACCGAATGATGCTCCGGCCGATTCGATTAAGTTTATGATTACATAGAAGCTATTTTTGTATCGCTTATAGAACTTATCCTACAGCTAACACCTAACGCTGTGTTTAGCAATTTTTCGAACTGATAATAAATATTTCTATATGAGTCTTATGTAAAGTAGTAATAAATTTATTAACGATGATAAACGCATGCTATGATAATTGATCAAACTCTTTAGACTAACATTTATTCATATAAACCTATATCTTTACCCTAATTCTAATATGCTACGTAACATGAAGTACAGTTCTAATCCTAACATTAACTATTTGCAGGTAGGGATCGAAAGTTTAAGATCGTCAACCGTCAGAAAATAACATGAACACAACACTGTATATATATATGCTG